CGAGTCTCCTGCCTCCGCCTCCCAAGTAGCTGGGACCACAGGCACCCGCCACAACGCCCGGCTATTTTTTGGTTGCAGTCGTCATTGTTGTTTGGCGGGTCCGGGCTGGGGATTCGAACCCGCCACCTTGGGTGTACATGGCTGGCGCCTTAGCCGGTTGAGCTATAGGCGCCGAGCCCGTAGGTGTGTTTTTAATGATAGTTTTGAAATGCTTAGCTTTAACAGTCTGCATTTAGACGCAACGCCTTAAAATAGCATAGACTGGCCCACAGTGAGGAGATGACTGCTTCACACTCATCTCTGACCTTCGGTCCCAAGGGAATCTATTGCCTTCACCGGCCAGGCCTGTTTCCACGCTAACTTTATCCGGTGGACCTATCCACGAAGCAAGTGCTATCTGGACAACAAAACTGATCAGCTTATCCACCTTCTAGCTAGCAAAGTTCTAACAACACTTCTGATATTTACTAGATAACAAGTCTATCATCTGAACAAAGAGCAAACACAAGCTCCTCCCAGGTATGGGGGAGGCTCCACCCCTGACAATACTACTATATGCTCTGCATCCAGTGGCAGCCCCATCTGTGAGACTCCAAAGGGACTTAAAGAAAAAGTCACAGGAGAATAAAACAAACTGAAAAGGAAAGTGACTCAAACTAGCCGACTAAAGGGCCTAGGCATGCAGGTACTTCCTTCAGGTTACCCAAAGTTGACATGCAATGGGTTGATCACCATAGCGTATGGAAGTATCTTGCTATTATATTTTGGCCAAAAAACAATCAAACTTCCTCAAAAGACTCCTCTAAATCCCAAATTACTATCTTTGGGGGTGGGGACAAGGATATGAGACTGAAGGTCATCTGGACAGATCAGCGTTGGAGTGAAATTTAAGAACTGCGTGGAGGTCTTGTTACCATAAAATATAAACATCCGACCTAGAAAGAAACAAAAACCGTTTATTTCATACTTCTGAAGAATTTAATTTACCCTGAATAATATCTTTTGGTGAAAAACCAAAGAGCCCCTGCAAGCCTAGCTAAATGCAAGTTAATTATTATAATCTATGATTGTTGTTAAAATGAAGAATCCATTTTTGTAGTTTTGCAAAGAACACCCCAAAGCTGGGAACAGGGCCTGCCCTCGGCACCTCCTCCTGCAGCTTCCTCCCCTACCTCCATGAGGTGGGTGTGGACACGGTATCCACAGAGAAGAGCCAACAGGCCAGAGGCTCAGCAACCTCTGGGCAGGCCCTCCATGCCCACAGCACACAACACCCCTGCCCGCTCTGCTGTCTCCACCCAGGGAGGCCTAGCTGGGCTGTGTCCACCACAGCCTGGCTCCAGGACAGCCATTCCACACCCTGGGCTGAGCCTCATGGCAGCCACACCACCAGTTCTATGTGAGTTCACCTTCAGGATATACCACCCACCAGGTTCATGATAAAAATCTTCACAAGATTCTTTCTGAACATTTTCATACCCTTTGAACATGGGAAGTAAAGTCAATTTCAAATGCTCTGTAAAGGAGAAGATTGTTACCATACCCCTCACAATTTAAAAAGAGAAATAACATGGCCCAGTTCAAAAAAACTGAATCACATTAGGAATAAAATAATATTCTGAGAACTACTCTGTTAGTCCACATAGCATTCCTAGAAGATCCCTAGAGGGAAAGTATACTGTTTCTCTTCTGTTTTCATACACTTGCTTATTTTTCACAGGTGAGAAAAGGGGATCAAGGAGGGCACTCTGGGGGGCAACAGGGGCCATGGCCAGAGGGGCCAGTGAGACAGCAGCCCCAAGGATTCAGGGAACATTTTTTTTTTTTTTTACTGAAAAGGTTTTCTTCCTTTCTTTTTTAAAATTGTGTGTAGCAAAATACACACAACCTAAAGTTTACCATTTTGACCTTTTTAAGCACACAGCTCAGCAGACCTAAGCACAATCACATTGTGCGACTATCACCACCTCCGTCTCTAGAACTTTCTCTTCTTCCCAAACTGAAGCTCTGTCCCTGCCTAACCCTAGTCCCCCTCCCCTCCAGCCCTGGGCACTGAAGACCTCACGGTGGAATCAGTGTGTCCCTCTATGCCTGGCTTCCTCCATTCACACAGCATCCTTGAGTTTCGCCCATGTGGTAGCAGGTGTCAGGATTTCTTGCCCCTTTTGTAAGAGAGACAGGGTCTTACTCTGTCACTCAGGCTGGTCTCAAACTCCCGGTCTCAGGCAATCCTCATGCCTCGGCCTCCCGAAGTGCTGGGATTTATAGGCATGAGCCACTGTGCCTGGCCAGAATGTCCTTCCTTTTTTTTTTTTTTTGTAAAGAGAGTCTCAGTTTATCGCTCTCAGTAGAGTGCTGTGGCATCACACAGCTCACAGCAACCTCCAACTCCTGGGCTTCGGCGATTCCCTTGCCTCAGCCTCCCAAGTAGCTGGGAATACAGGCGTCCACCATAGCGCCTGGCTATTTTTTTGTTGCAATTTGGCCAGGGCCAGGTTTGAACCCACCACCCTCAGTATACGGGGCCAGCGCCCTGCCCACTGAGCCACAGGTGCCACCTGTCCTTCCTTTTTAAGGCTGAATAATAATAGTCCACTGCAGGACCCAGCCATGCTCTACTGTCCACGTATCTGTCAGTGGACCTGGGCTGCCTCCATCCCTGGCTGCAATGAACATGGGCGTGCAGAGACCTAAGACCCGTTTTCAGTTCTTTTGTGGAGATACCCAGAAGTGGGACTGTGGATCTGATGGTGGTTCTATTTTTAATTTCCTGAGGAGATGCCACACTGTTCCCACTGCACCTGCTCCGTCATACACCCACAGAGAGCACAGCCTGACTTCCCCCCATCCTTGCCTCTGCCCTCATCTGTTTCATGATGCCATCGTAACAGGCATTAGGTGGTATTTCATATGGTTTTGATGTTGCATTTATCTAATGACTAATGACTTTGAGCATCTTTTCATGGGTTTGTTGACCATTTTGAAGAAGTATCTTTTTAAATCCTTTGCCCATTTTTTAACTGATTCATTTTCTTATTATTGACATGTATGAGTTCTTTATATATTCTAGATACTAATCCCTTGTAAGATCTACAAATATTTTTTTATAATTTCCCATAATTCCTGAGAGGAGTTTTTTTTGTTGTTTATTTTTTTGAGAACAGAGTCTCACTACGTTGTCCTTGGTAGACTGCTATGGCATCATAGCTCACAGTTTTTGTTATTGTTGTTTAGCAGGCCCAGGCCAGTTTTGAATCCACTACCCTCTGTGTATGTGGCTGGCGCCCTAACCACTAGTCTACGGGTGCCAAGCCCCTGAGAGAAGTTTTAATTAAGTAATTAAAATACATACCTAAATTCTGCCGAAATTCAGACTTAAGTCCAATTTGAAGCAGCTGGTTTTCAAACAACACACCATTATTTTTACAAACAAACCTAGGGAAAAGGGATAGTACAAGCATCACTCAAAACGGCCCACTGCAAATACCAGGGTTTGTTTTAGAAAAGCCTCTATGGGATGTGAAGAATGAAAAAGTAGAAAATTATCCCAAAGACCGTCATAGTGAGCAGCCACAAGCCACAGAGCATGAGCAGAGCCCAGTGAGGCAGGCAGCCTGGCAGAGGCTTGACACCCCACCCCACTCCCAGGTCCACTGCTTTTCCTAAGCAGGAAAAGGTTAATGGGCTCTCTCTGACTCACACAGGATGCAGGCATGACACACACACACGTTCTGGATGGGCCAGGTACCAGGCTCCCATCCAGACAGGGACCTCAGCATTAGACCCTGGCTCCCCCCAGCTGATGCACCCCATGCTTGGGCAAGCAGCCTGCCCCTACTGGGCACTGGGCAGCTCCCACTGCCCTTGGCCCATGCTCTTCAGTGCATAGTTCTGCTCTACACTGCACAGGGAGCCTTAGGAGCTTTGCTCACTATAAGGTAATCCATCTACCCCACACAAAATTAAGAAAAAGTAAAATATATTTGTTAGTTTTCTCTTACATTTATCTCAGACAAGCTTAAAGTTTTCTGGCCTCCTCCACCATGAACTACAACTGCACAGTGAACAGCTCCAGGGGAGAGGGGAAGGTAGGACAGGTGGCCTGCGCCCTCCCACATACGCTGTGGGTTCCCAGTGAGCACAAGGGAGACAGCACAGTGCAAAAATGGGATACTACTGACCAGGACAAGGGTGTGGCTTGGGGGGGCCTCAGGGGATCAGGCAGAGTGCAGAGAGCACAGCACTGGCCCCTGCCACACATAAGGAACAGAGGTTGCGGGCAGCAGCCCACACCTGGAAAGCAAATGGCCCGCTCACACTAATTCTGTTGTACTGAAGCTGCTGCCACTGGCCACCTCACAGGGCTCGGTGTTGCTGGCACACACAGTGGTCCACTGGCACCTTGAGGAAGTCCTCAGGAAGACGACAGGAAAAATGGCAACAGCATAGGGCTCGAGGGGCAGACCGGCCCTGTCCCACCCCATGCCCGGCTCCCCGTAAGACTAGCAAGACCAGTGCCCTCCTCCAGCCCCATAGGCTCTCCTCGGGTGAGTGGTGCACAGAGCAGACACCCACAACACATCTAAAGGATGTGCTGGCACATCTCCCCCAGTGGATGACTGCCCTGTAAAAGGAGAAGTGCTGGGCAGGGGAGCTGGCAGAAAAGGCCCACTCTCTCACTGCACCTGGGGCTGGGCTGCCGCACCACAGCCAGTGTGAACTCCACACCAGGGCTAGTTTACACATCTGGCCTTGACTAAGCCATTCTAGACTGAAATGTGTTCTGATCACCCGCTGCATGACCAGAGAAGCCCTTACAGTCAGTGACTTTGGTTGGTTGTTCTTTTGAGGCTCGTTTGAACTGCAGCTCAACCCCAAGGAATTCGAGGGGTGAATAAAAGCCACACAGAAGGCCCATGAGACGCAGCCTCCCCACACTGCTACTGCATCAGCTGTGTTTGGCTAGAAGCATCCACACCCCACCCTGAACAAGTGCGTGCCACTTGCACATCTGATGATCCCTGCAGCAGATCAAGACAAGGATCGCAGCTCGGCACCTGTGGCTCAAGCGGCTAAGGCACCA